AGGGGGGTGGGGGCTAAGGGAGGTGGGCACAGAGGGGGAGAATGAGGGTGGAAAGGGACTTTGCTTGGGGCGACGGGCGCACGATGCAGTGTGCAGGCCATGTTTTATTGAGCTGTACACTTGAAACCTGTATGGTTTGTGAACCAAGGTCACACCAAAAAATTCAGATTTAAAATGTACTTAAATCTTTGTTTAAAAACTATCACTTCCCTCAATTTTTTTCTCAAAATATTCATTAAATGGAACAAAAATAATTTCTGCAAAATATTTAACACCATCAATTCAGGTCAGTTTTCATATCTTATTTTAACCAAGTGCCTAAATCTTATCAGCTCACATGCCAGTATTATTTGAGTCAATTAAAGTCAAATGTTCCTACTGACGTTAGTTTTCAAAGTGGTTGTGGTACAATACAAACTTGCATTAAGTAGCTGTGCACAGTGAGGGAAGCGTTAATGAAAGATTCGGTGAGACCTCACCATTAACACGGCGCCTGCCAAGGCGCCGGTGCTCACTCCATAGTGGCCTTGACCACTTGGATGTTGTGTCCCTAACAGCTCAGCAGAAATTTACCAAAACTGAAATGATGCAGGCGGCTGATGATTAAGTTTTTATTCTTCCATTTTGTATCCAAGCAGTTAGCAATCCAGTGCCATTCTGGATGCGGGGAGTCGGCTTCCAGAAGGCCTTCCCCATGCCGTCCTCCCATCTGAACCCAGAGAGGCCTGCACTGCGAGCATGGGGTGGACGCACAGCCGTGGGGAAGGTCTGCAATTATTTCAAAATGGTGGAAATCAAGCTACAGAAATAAATGTGGGGAAGAGCTCTAGGTTCCTTTGCGTGACCATAGCCACATACCAACATCTGGACTTGATTCCCATGCAAGGCTTTGCAGTTCGGGAGAGCTTCAGATACAAACACACAAGCACTTGGTGACAATGCCCTTTCATGCAGTGGTCTGAGCTGCTTCTCTCTTCATCCCCTCTCATTCAACCACTCAAAAATCTTACTGCATATGCTGTGCTGGTTGTTCTTAAATAAATTTTCATTTTAGCCTCAGATTCGAAAAGAATTTTCAATGAATTCATTAGTGACATTTCCCCATCTTTTCCTCTTTCACGTATTAGCATATTATAATGTCAAGCAAATGGAAGGTTTATTATTTTTATTATTATGTATCCACATTCTCAGCAGTGCATGTTAAATAAATATTATTTGCTTTATATAGATTTTGTAAAATGATTGTAGGTTCCAGGAAAGCATAATCTTGCCCACATTTATTCCTGTAGTTGTTTGACTGGAAACGGGGAAAAAAGCGGTATCTTGTTTCTCTCTGTATCGCCTTGTCTGAGTTCCCATTCCTTTTCCATCATGGTATTTCCATCATGGTATCTGTCTTTGCTTGAACTTTCACGGTGAATGTGATCATTTTCTTTATTCTGTTCCAAAAAAAAAAAAAAACCCACAATATTTTTCTGTGCATAAAATTGCAGTTTTTCCTTTTAGTGTTTTATTTTTTGTCCTGTACCTTGTAAGTGGAGATTTATTGATAAGACAGAACCTGGGGGAATGAAGGAAGGAACCACTTCAAATTGTACACATGCATGAGAAACTTTATGTCAACAAGGCACAAATGACAGAAAATTTGTAGAAAATAAATGATTGCAAGTGAAGACAGAATCCATCTGGAAGAAGCAGGATGCTCACATGTAGAGCAGAGCTAGGAAGCAAATTATTCATCAAGCAGACGGTTTCATTTTTGGTCAGATCGAGGTGACCTACAAGGCTTCTTCTGCAATTCCGTATCTCTCAAACTGGCCTGTAAACACAAATGCGTTCCATCCTCCTCAGCTTTTCTCTCAGATACCGGTTTGGGAAGCGATCCAGTCCCGCAGGGCAGTCACTCTAGTATAAACGCCAGGCTTATTGGGTTGCCCGCATTCATCTCCCCAGCTCACTATTCCAGCAAGATACCAGATGTCTCTAGCATCTGCACTAACCAGTGGTCCTCCAGAGTCACCCTGAGAGGGAAGGAAGAGGTTAGTCGTTAATAATTCATTCATGACAGAGGAATTTGCTATTTCTCTCCTAACTTGACTTCAATGAAAGGGTGGGTTTTCAAGTCTTTGGTGTGTTCAAATGCACAGTGATTCCCTTTATCTAATCATAATTCACATAGAAGAGGAGCTTCACCACCTGGAGAACTGGCTTAGCCTCAGGGTTCAGTAGACTGAGATTAAAAGCTCAATCTCTTTGGAGAACAGGGTTCTTAACCTGCCTGGTTCAACTGACAAAGAAGTTCCCCATATTGGTTGCCTTTTTATCAGTGTCACATAGCTCCCAAAAGAAGTGGGATGAGTCTATTGCTGATATTGAGAATGGACATTAGAGTCAAATATCTGGGCTTAATTTCAAGTCTGGCCCTTCCAAGGTGGCTAAGACCTTTAATTTACTTATTTTAAATGATGGTAATACCTACCTCTGGTGATTATTTTGAAGATAATATATATATTTTTACAAATGTGTATAAAGGGCCTAGCACTTCCTCCTCTGCTCTGGGCTACACTCCCATTGTTTCACCCCAAGCAAGCCAGGTACTTCCACTCATTGTTTCTGTGCATTTTTAACACCCCCTAAATCAGCCACCAGCCACCCTGGGTATCCTGCTTACCCAGTTATTTTTTAAGGTACAATTATTTGTTGTTGCTAACTCTCTGATTACCAAGTTGCTTAGCCTGTGTGGGGTCTGCTGGTCTGTCTCTAATCCTATTTTTTCCAAAAATCCTATTATTTTAAGTGAGGGATTTAGTGGGAAATGAAACCGAAAGTTTGTGCAGGTATGCACATAAGAGAAACTTTTAAAATTAGAAGCATGAGGCCAAACCAGGAAGCAACATAAGTCATCAAAATATGACGTAATGAAGGAATAATTGGAGTATTAACAAAAGGAATGCAGACAAAAGAGATAAATATGGGAGCTATGATAAAGAGGGAAATATTCTAAGACGTGGTTGACTCCACATGAGGGAGATAGAAGAGTAAAAGACCCTGAGCATAATGAAACCCGATAATACAAATGAGAAATTTGATAATGGGAAGTCTGGTTAACATTTCATGATGTTCGTTGTTTGTGACGGCACAAATACAAATGTTAGTCATATTAACAACTTAAAACATATAAATGAAAATTGTTTGGGAGTAGGTGGAAATGTGAGATGAAATTTGGGCAAGAGGTTAATTCTGGACATGTAGACTTGGAAGTCATTAAAGTGACACTGACTTTAAAAAAAAAAAGATAGCTTCTTTGAGCGATGACATAGACAGCAGAGAAAAATTTCATCCGAGATCTGAGTCTTTAGGAATAGCCAGGCTTATAGTGAGGATGAGAGACCAGAATGAAAAGAAGAAAGCAGAACGGAGGGCTGCAGCAGGGGGCTGGGGGGCACGGGGGTCAGCATCTCTCAGGACCATCCCAGTGAAGGATCATAGTCTAACAACCAAACACCCAAGTAAAGACCTTTGCATGTGAGGTTATTGATGATTTTTGAGATATTAAAATAGAGGGAATAGGTCAAGTGGCAAAACTGTGGGTGCTAGGTCCCTCCAAAGATAGAAAGATAGGGTATTATAATCACAGGGGTAAATTTGGTTTCTCATCTTTAACGTCCCAAATTTGTAAAGAACATTCTCCTGTAATACCATCATCGAAATGGCATTGTTGAATAGGGGATATATTTTCAGATGAAATTATATGACTTCTGTGATTTTTTTCAAAATAGATCTGGAATTTTGTGGTGGAGGGAAGGGTTGAAGGGATTGTGTTAGAATATATAGGGATAAAATAAAATATAAAATAAAATAAAATAAAGTGTTAAAAATAGTTGAAGCTGGGTGATGAGTACATAGGGGTTCATTATACTGTTCTCTCTACTTTTGCATATATTTGAAATTTCTGTAATAAAAATTTAAAAATAAAAGACTAAAAAAGCACATAGTTGTTCCTATGAAACTTTTAATAAGAAAGTTACTATTAATAGAGGCTGAGGTATTTGAATGAAGATCATAAATGATGATCACAAATGTGAAAGCACAAGATGTTTTCAATAATTTTAGTAAAGTTGGAGGTAATTAGGCTGAAGGGGATTAAGACGAGAGAAGATCTACAATCATATCTAAACAATGACTGTAGATCTGTTTTGTATGTCTATGGAAAAGTCAAATAAAATAGACTGGAGTCTCATTCATGGTTGTTATGTTCTATAAAGATGCTGCATACACTGAATTAGTGATTAATTCATCATCATCACTGCTAGGGGAAATACAGGGTTAGAATGCCATGGGCCTTTGGTCAGACTTTTGTCAATTGATCAAAACATAACCACATCTTACGTGTGTTTCTGCTTAAAATCATCTTATTTAACACACACTATTGATTCATTAACGTTGAACCCACAGCCAACAGAATATTTTCTCCATAAAGCACATCACAGCCTTCTTGCGCTTTGCTTCAGAACTATACACTTAGGGACTATTTTAAATCACAAAATCACCAACAAAATGCACAAACATGTAGAAAATGTAGCATTAAGTAGACCACAAAAACAACACAAGTTTATGGTGTTAAAGCTAAACAAGAAGGCAGCATCATCACCTTTTTCAACCTGTGGTGAGAGCATGCTCACTGGGTGACTCAAATTTTTCCCATTCTGCCCATGTTCGTGAATGATCACGTAAGGGCCTTGAGTATTGACTTTGAATTTTCAAACAAATATTAGCAAGTAGATGAATTCCCATGTACAGAATCTGCAAATAATGAGGATCAAGTGTAATTTCCAGTGAGGCTTATTAGGTTGGTTTTATTTTAGAAGGTTTATTTACAGAATCAATTTGAATTTTCTGTAGAATTTTCTAGTGGAACCAATCTACATTGCTTCATGTTTTCCTTCATGAACAAACAGAGCCTCAGAGCAGAAAAAAATAAACACAATGAGCCCAGCCGGGCGTGGCTCAGTGATTGAGCATCGGCCTAGGATCGAGGCAATTGGGGTTTGATTCCCGGTCAGAGCACAGGCCCAGGTTGTGGGCTTGATCAATGACTGTCTCATCACTGATGTTTCCATCTCTCTCTTTCCCTCTCCTTTTCTCTCTCTGAAATCAATAAAGGTATATATATTTTTTTAAAGTACATTTTGAAAATAAAAATAAAAAACACAATGAAATGAGTTCAATCTTGAGTATATGCCAAAAGTGTGCAGAAAGGTCATTTGGGTGAAAGAGTTTAATGTAACCAACTGATCAATACCAAAGTGACTGACCCAGAGGTAAATGTTGGGAAAGGACTATGGTGAAGTCAACTGTGCATTAAGGGAAGTGAAGCCAATGAAGGGAAAAAACAGGTGCAGTATGTATGTGAGAGAGAGAGAAAAATGGCAAGTTCAAAAAATATATATATATTTTAAATATATCTTTATTGATTACAGAGAGAGGAAAGGAGAGGGAGAGAGATAGAAACATCAATGATGGGAGAGTAATTGATTGGCTGCAGCCCGCAACCCAGGCACGTGCCCTGACTGGGAATCGAACCCTGATCGCCTGGATCCTAGGTCGAAGCTTAACCGCTGAGCCACGCCCGGCCAGGCAAAAATATATATATATTTTAATTAATTACATCCACTCTGTGAATCCACACTGGAAACCATACAGAATAGCATGGAATTTCAAAGGCGAATGTGAGGCTCAGAGAGCATATTAAACATAAGATCTGTCAAGTCATAAAATAAAAATTACAGGGGTATTTAGGGACATACCCAAGGAATTACTTATTGATCCCCTCCAAGATTTTATCAGCAATGAGCATGAAGACATAGAGTTCATGGTTATCATGTCTGGCAAAGGTACAAAGTCGACAGTGATAGCCCATGTACTGAAAAGCAAATTCTGAGTTCAAAGAGATGTCTATGCTGTGGATCAAGATGGAATATACTTATTCATTTTACCCAAAATAAATACATCTATAAAAACATAAAACCCTGGACACTAGAAATAAAGCAAATATAAAAAGCTTCTGAGCCCTGGCTAGTATGACTCAGTTAGTTGGAGCATCACCCAGTACACCAAAAGGTCACAGGTTCAATTCCCAGTCAGGGCACATGCCCGGGTTGCAGATTCAGTACGCAATTGAGGTGCGTATGACAGGCAGCCAAACAATGTTTCTCTCTCACATCAATGTTTCTCTCTCTCTCTTCCTCTCTCTAAAATCAATAAACATATTCTCGAGTGAGGATTTAAAAAAAAATTTTTTAAGATTCTGAAAGGTAGAGTGAAGAAGGCAGATAAGCTAAGAACCTCAAGACAAGGAATGACACAGCAGTGAGCTCCCTGGGCCCTGGATTTCCCCCCCTTCACTTATCCTGGGCAGGGAGCCAGCAACCTGGCAACAGGTACAAATGAAAAAGAACCTTCAAGAAAAGCAGCCTTTCTCTAATAAAAAAAACATAAAAGGGGCAACCTAGGAAGACAGAAAATTTTAGACAATATTCTCTCTACTCCAGCCAAACACAGAAAAATACTGTGGCCCCATTCCATCCCGCATCAGCACAGGCTAAGTGGGGAGCTTGGATTCCACCCTTACCAGGCAGTCTTAAGGTCCAGTCCCTTACCAGACTGGTATTAGAGAAGGCTCAGTGGGGAGCCAGACTATTATCTATGCCAAGTAACAACAAAGGCCTCCTCTATCTCCCCTGTGGTGACCAGCTGGGGAGCATGGACTATACAGCCCAGGGGTAGTGAGGCATAACTGTCTCTCCCAGTGTAACGTCAGGGGAGACCTGGTGGAGAGTCAGGACTTTCACAACTACCAAGCAGTACTGAGGCCACTAGCCCACGATGTCAGTGGAGACCGGGGGAGAGCAGTAACAAGGTGCTCAAGCCAGCATGGTATCAGAGGAGGCCTAAGGGGGCCTGAAATTCCACCGCCGCCCAGCAGTAATGAGGCACTGCTCCCCCACGCGGTGTCCAGGGAGGGCGAGTGGGGAAGAAGGCAGCACCTCCCTTCCCCTTCCTGTGTCACATCAGGGGAAGCCTGTTACAGGAGAAGATTTAAATAAGATCCCGAGTCTCATTATAGTACTCAAAATGTCAAGGATGCATCTGAAAATTATTCTCATACCAACAGCCAAGAAAATCTCGAATGAGAGAAAGCAGCCAACGGACACCGACACTGAGATAGCACAGATGTTAGAATTATCTGATAAAGCAGCCATCGCAAAAATGTCTTCATGAGAAATTACCACCGTGCTTGAAACACACACACAAAAATAAGAAGTTTCAGCAGAGAAATAGCAGATATAAAGGAGAATCAAGTGGAAATTTCAGAACTGAAAAATATAATGACCAAAATAAAAATTTTAAAAACTCACTGGATGGACTTAACAAAAGAATGGAGTTGGCAAAATAAAACATGAGTGAACTTGAAGATGGAATCAGAAGTTACCCAACCTGGACAACAGAGAGAAAAAGAGTGAAAAAAAGAAAATGAACAACAGAAGCTCAGGGACCTCTGAGACTATAACAAAAGAACTAAAGTTTCTGCCATTGGAGTCCCTGAAAGGGACAGAAGAGAAGGGGGGTGGGGCTAAAAAGTAGTCTAAGAAATAATGGCTGAAATTTTTCCAAATTTGTTAAAGGACAGAAACCTGCAGATTAAAAAGCTGAACAAATCCCAAACTGGCTTACCCAGAGAAATCTATGCCAAGCACATAATCAAACTTCTGAAAACTAAAGACAAAGAAAAAAAATCTTGAACACAGCAAGAGAGAAATGACAACCTCACCTATAAGGGAAAAGCAATTCTAATAACAGCAGATGCCTCATTAGAAATCAAGGAGGCCCTGATTTAAGTGCTGAAAGAAAAAAGAACTGTCAATCCCAGATTCTGTATCTGGCAAAATTATGCTTCCGAAATTAATAGGAAATAAAGTATTTTGCCAGACAAAGAAAAATCTAAGGGAATTTGTCACTAGCAGATCTACACTAAAAAAAATGGCTGAAGGAACTTTCTGAAACAGAAAAGAAATGATAAAAAAGAATCTAGGAAATCCAGGAAGAAAGAATGAAACTGGGTAGATACACTTTCCTTTTCTTGAGTTTTCTAAGTTATGTTTGGTACTTGAAGTAAAAAATAAAATAAAATTGTTTGATGTGGTTCTCAGTATATGCAGAGGAAATATTTAATATTTATATTTATTAATATTTAATATGATACATGGGGAAAGGTAAAGAAATTTGAGGGGACATAAGTTTTCTGTTGTACACTACACTGAAACTAGTAAAATCTGAACACCAGTAGACTGACATAAATTATGTGAGTATAACTTAGAGGAACCACAAAGTGTTTTCTCTACAAAGAGATGGTCTAGTCAAAAACACTAATAGATCAATCAAAATGGGATTCTAAAATAAAAAAAAAAGTTACTGTATAATTCTATTTATATAGCATTCTCAAAATTACAAAATTATTGAGATGGATAACAGATTAGTGATTGACAGGCCTTAGTGATGAGAGAGGAAAGTGGGTGTTACTGTAAAGGGAGATCTTTGTGGTGTTGAAATAGTTCTCACCTGCAGTGGTGGTTACACAAATCTACACATGTGACAAAGTGCCATAGAACTAGAGGTACACACTGTACCAATGTCAGTTTCCTAGCTTTTATACTGTACTATAGTTGTGTGAGGTGTGACCTTTGGGGGACTTTGGGTGAGGGGTACAGGAGAGCCCTCTGTACAGTCTTTGCAACTTTCTATAAACCTATGATTTTTTCAAAATATAAGGTGATCAAAAAGTTATGCAGCATATTAATAGGCCAAACTTCTTACCTGGCATGCATCTCTTTTTCCTTCTAAGGAGCCAGCACATAACATCCTAGGAGTTATAGAATTATTGTAAACTTGAGGTTTATTACAGGTTTTACTGTCTATGAGATTCACCTGCACTTGCCAAAGATGATTTTGACTGCTACCTAAAGAGAAAAAAATAGTCTTTATATTTGTTGATATACATACATTTTATAGACCTGAAGAAAGTCTTTCATAATTACTGGACAAGATGCTAATATAGAATCTTAGGATATGTATTTTTTTCAGATAACAGTAATATTGGAGGAGAGAATACATTTCTATTTTAAATAAAAAGTTAGGCACCTAGGAAAGAACCTCAAGTTGTGTAAGTAATTTCCACCCCATTGTTAAGCTTAGAAGGTAATTTCAGTAGGAGGGCATGGGGCTTTAGTATTCTCTGATCTTCACAATTGAATATATTAATGATCCCTCAACTCTTATGTCATTAATTCCCTAGGAAAAAGCTCAGACATGTTTACTCTTTCAGGTATCTCCTCCAGCACCATCACTGTGGTCATTGTGACGCACTTGATAGTAACCTAAGGCATGAAGGAATTTATGTATCTTCTAAATGACTTCGTTCATAAGCAGAGCCTGGCCTGGCCCAGGTCCAACCCACTAACATATGTTCGCATAATGACATTCCGTTCTTTAAATGCCTTAGCATATGAAATTAGGTTACTATGATTTGTTTCTCTTCAGATTCTCACCGTCATTTTGTAGTGCTCCAAATCCAGTCACAAACATCTCATCACCCGGGTGGAACTCATGGGATGCATCGGGGAGACAAACTCTATGTACCGCATTTGTGTAGGGAACTGGGCTAGAAAGCTCTGCAACTGAAATATCATAGTCATGTGATGGATATTTGTATTTTTCATGGACAATTATCCTCCGGATGCCTTGTTTCATTTTAGAAGGAAATACTGTCACTCCAAAGGAGGCAGTCCACCTGGCTGGGTCGCTATACCTGGGGGGGGGAAGATGTGAAGAATAAATTCTACTTTACCGTGCTACCAATATAATGATTTCCATGAAACAATTTAATCTGTCCATATAAGGTGTTTTTTTTAAATTACAGTTTCTATGTATAGAAACAAACTCCTTGCAATCTGAGAATCTGGTTCATGGGTCAGAGCAGGTGGAAATAACACAGTGGCGTGTTCCTTGGGATACACATGCTGCTTTGCATGCTGAGTCACCACTCCAGATCTTAAGGCCTTTTGACATTTCTGGGCACCAGAGCGACATATGGAAAGCATATCCTGCACAGAATGAGAGAACTAAACGAATTCTATGTGCACCATGTCACCTACCCCACAAGCATACACGTATCTCTGAAAACCAAAAAGGCTGCGCAATAATTTTAACAAAGCATTATTATCCTGTACATGTCAAGCATTTTACACCGGGTTAAAAGGGTTTTATTTCTTGAAATATAACTAGCCAACCTATTCAGTGGTATAATTTGTTACTACCAGATTTCTTCATATGTCATTCTCACCATGGGGAATTTCCTCACTGGGTCAAACCTACAATCCACCTAGCCTCTATCTCTCACAGATATATATGTAGCAGAGAGATATGGCTCTTCTCTTTGATATCAAGCTCAAAGTCTAAAGGTGACTTTAAAATTCCTGCTTTCTCTGACATATTATTGTGTAATTTTCAGTGGATAATTTACCTACATGTACTTTGATGCCATTCCCATTTCCAGACTATAAAACCTTTTACTAAAGTTTATGAGTTTCCCACTCTCTTTGTGATGTACATGTTTTTTAATATATACCAAACTCATCTCTCTTAAACTTCATAAGGTATTTTCTTCTTGCCAAGCCCCAATGCACTCTGCTTACCCCCAGTCACTCACGAAGTTCAGGACTTACATTCTAAAGCAGTGAGCGGCACTCACAAGCCATGTGCTGTTAATTAAAGTTGCTCCACAGCGATGGACCCCATCCCATTGCAGGCTAGCTTGCCATGGCCATTCACCCTCTTCTACTTGTGTCCCACCAACAATCCTGAGACTCTGCTTTGTAACTTTATTCCTTCGAGTCCCACAACCTGCCAAAGAGAGATGGTGCATTAGTTAGGAGTTGTTTTTAATTTCAAATTGTGTTATTATGTTCCAAATTTCTCATACTTTTTGCTCCAGTAGCATTAAACATTTTTTTCTTGTTTTTACCTTTCCTTAAACTGTTGTGTTTCATTATTTAACTCCTATTCATGTTGTAAGATTTAAATTAGTCATTACCTCCTTTAGGATGCCTTCTCTAACAATTCCCCACCCTCAGACTGATTAGTTATGACTTCCTTTAATGCTTCCATTAAAAAAAAAAAATCTCTCTCATATATGTATGTGTGTGTTTTTTACATGCTTTATTACAGGGTTTCTCAACCTTGGAAGTCTTGGCATTTTAGGATGAATAGTTCTTAGTTGGGGGGTGTTGTCCTATATCATAGGATGTTTAGAAGGATCCCTGGCCTACATACTAGATACCAGTAGCACCTCCACACACACAGTCATGATAACCAAAAATGCCACAATGGGGCATATTCTTTAGAGGTCAAAATTACCCTTGTTTGAGAATTATTGTTTTAGACTTATGTGTTCATGCACTAGTCCCTGTACATATAGTCCCATTAGACTATGAACTTCTTTAGGCAGGTATAATATTTCATCTTTTATATCCCTATTGCCTAACACAGCACTAGCACATAGTAGTTTCCCAATAAATATTGGTGACAAGAATATATCTCATTTTGGTAATGGGATTATCCTTTGGTCTCATGCCAGTAAAATTTATGAATCAACCAACATTCTGAGCTGGTAAGTAGCATATTTCCTTCCATCTTTTAAGATAAATATATTCTGTACTAATTCTACCAAATGTACTCTCTAAATCCTGGTGGAATCTCTGCTATAGAGGAAGGGAAATACTAGGTCTAGAGACAGTATTTTTAAAATACGGGTAAAGATATTATCTGGGCCTTCGGTAATTTCATCAATATATACTCCAACCCCATAACTGCCTATGCTTTCCACAATATGGGATTAATAACATCGAGAAGATTTTATTTAATGTAGAGTAATAAATTTCTTCCTCCAGCTGAAAAATACCAACATAAAGATCACTTTTCTATAACCTTTAGAAAACTTTTGTGAGAGTATATTGCAGCAATCTTTGATCGGAACATTAAGAACTATTTTTTTGCCTCTCCTTTAATAACTACATGGCTCGCTTCAACTACACATGTGCCTTGGGCACCCATGCATGAACTCCAAAACTCTCCCACCTGTGTTATTCTTTAGGAATAAAATGTGCCTCAGAGGTAAGATAAAGCACCATGAGCTGTGCACAGACATTCAAGCTTTATTCTGACCCTTAACACCAAATGAAGTAAACCTAAATAATCTAGTATTAATATTTTACATTCAAACCATGCAATCTTAATAAGTATATTAAACTTACAGTTGTTCAGAAAGTTGTCTGTTTCTGTCTTGTTGATTTCTGAAACACACAGAAAGGGTGAACAGGGTCAGCTCATCCGAATTGCATAATGCCTCTGACTACTTCCAATACTAAAGGCCGATTAATTCCATTTTAAGATAGGATAGCTCTAGGTTGTAAAGAAAGTAACACAGTTATTTTATCATAGACATAGTATGTTCATTGCCTTGGGGAAAAGAGAGATCTGAACAGTGTTTGTTAAACTTTCGTGTGGATAAGAGTCACATAGGGAGCACCTTCATAATGTAAATTCCTGTTTCTCTTCCCAGGAGTTCTGATTCAGTAGTCTTGGGTTGAAGCCCAGGAATGTGAGTTTTATACCAGGAAATAAAATGCACATGGACCACAGTCTCTTTGAGAGAAATAATGGTCTGAGCCACAGTATTGATCGGCCAAATGTAAAGATATTTTTATTGACCATTATTTCAGATTATTTTGCTAAAGTCATAGGCATAGTTCCATTTGAAGAACATCCAAGTGGCATCTCCATAAGTTAGTTCTCACTCCCATTTAAAACCAATGTTATCTCTTTATAAGTCTTCCTCTGCCAAAGTTTTCGCAAGACAGTTTGCCTTCATATTGTCATTACACTCTAACCAATGGCTCCTTAGCGTGTTGACTTCTCAACAATCAGGCAGAGGGCAGTGATAGCCCCAAGAGGCCAAGTTTTCTGTCTGAACCAGAGCTTGCTTAAAATGAAGAAAGAAGGGAACAACCAAGGGACCCTATCATATTCTCTATTGCTCTCATTATTTCTTGGTACTAGCCAACAGTTTCTGCTGGAAATAATGACATAGAAGAACTTTTTGGTCCATCCTCACTGAACCTGAAGGTAGAGAAAGTTCTTAAGATGTGCATGTGTCAACAAGGGAAATAAAAAAGGTTATGCTAGCCTTGTTCAGTGTTTTCATGGATCTGGTAAAAACTGAAACATGTATATGTAAGATCTATGAAATACAGTTGTATAATTTTGTGATTCCACATATAAATTAAATGCTCTTCTATTTGCATTTAAAATTGACATTTCACAGTATGAAGGTGAACAGTAAAACTCATGCTAGTAATTTTAACTTTTTCACTTTGAATGACATTAACAAATAAAAATATCATGACAAATCAAGAGATACCCAAAAGAAAAAAAAGTCTTATATTTTATTACCTTTAAGAGCCCTTTTTTATTGCTTTTTGAAGAGTGCAACATTTTTATTTTCACTGGGCCCCACAAATTATGTATCTAGCCCTGACTAGTGAAACGCCCCTTTGTAAGCAAGTAAGGTAGCTGACCATCAGGTTAAGCCTCTAGGTAAGTCTACAAGCTTTTATATTAGCAATTTGTATTCATTCTTTCTACTTGTTCCCTATGGCCTCATTTCTAGTACTGCCAATTCTCATATTGTACCACTAGCCACATGTGCCTAGTTAGCTCTTAAAATGTGATTTGTCTAAATTGAAATGTACTATAAATATAAAATATACACTCGATTTCAAAAGCCTTAGAAATAAATAATTTTTACATTGACTACTTGTTGAAATAATACTACTTTAGATACATCAGATTAAACATACAATTTAAATGAATTTCACAATTACTTTTACTTTTTGAGCAGCTACTAGAAAGTTTAAGATCATCCATTTGGCCTGCAAAGTATTTCAATAGACTAGCATTGTTCCTAGAACATGACTTAGCTCTTAGCCAGGCTTATTTCTACTGAGGCTCTCTTATGTTTCTTACTTTCTAGTAATGAGGACTTGTCACTGCTTGTTTTGTCCCCCTGCCCCGGCAAAAACAAACAAATAAATAAACAAACAAAAAAACCCTCCAGACTTTTTATCTTAGTTGTAAAATATACCAAAAATATATAAAAATAAATTATAAATTTTTCATTGGTAAGTGTTCTAAGGAAAGAAACTGTAACAAGGTATATCAATAACATTTGAAGCAAATATGTGAATGGCATGAACCTTTTCACACATCACACTCTCAGAACATAAAATATGTAAATTATAAGTAATTAATATACAAGTAATTACAAGCAATTAAAAAGAAGAGGAATAGTATGCATAGCCCCTTTCTCTTTTTCTCTTTGGGTTCTATAACCAAAATGTGAGGCCCAATATAGAAAAAAGATCCAAGCTCAGGACTTAATGACAGGCTTGCATGCCAGGTGTAAGTTTTGGGTAGTATTTAAAAATTACTTTATGAGGGCCAGTTTGGTCCCAAAGAAATATTCTACTAGTGGTAAGACCCCATAATTGAAAGGCATCCAAAAAATTTTTAAAAATCATTGCCCAAGACCAAACTTAACATGGAGCTATTTTACATAAGAGAATTAAACTAAGTAAGAAAAATAAACTTACTTTTTATTTCAACTGATTCAGGATCTAATTCAGGGGGCCCTACAGCATCTTGCAGCTTTTTATGTAGAACACGTTGAATAATTTTATTTATGGTTTCAGGATCCTCGGTAGAGCGAAATCTAAAAATGAGCAGCATATGAGCCAACACTCCCTTTTCCTCTTTACTGTGAACCAAAATGAAAAACAAAAACAAACAAAAAATGTGGTTTTAAAAGATATAGTTCCAAATAAAATGTATAGTAATATCACAATATATTTTTCTTTATCATTCATTTGAAACACACACAAAAACAAATCCATATTTGTAACTTTAAAGATCTAATTTATTTTCTTTTATATTTCTATTGTTTACCACATATAGAACTCCCAACTTAGCCTCCATTCTGTCAGCTGCTCCACCTCCTTTTTCACATACAATCATTTCCCACAAAATCTTGCTCCTCCCTCTACAAGGCATTGACCCTTACATAAACTGTAAATAGAAATATAAATTAGAGTCTTATTTTTAAAGGTCAGTTTTGTTTATTATAAGTTTTATTATCTATCCTCTCTGATGCAGTATTTCTACTTTTAGAAATTTAATCTTCAAATACCCTCTTGTGTATACAAGGAGCTATCTATGCATATGCTCATCATAACCTTGTTTTTAAATCTGCAAGATATGTAACAACCCAAGTTTCCATCAAAAGGGCACTGGCTAAGTCAACCCCGAAGCATACTTGTAGTGAAATACTATTCAGCCGACTAAAGAATCAAATAGATGTACATTCACTCATTGAAAAGATGTGCCAAATAAATTGCTAAGAAGATGAGTTCTTTCTGTGAGTGAATTATTGGAGAGGGAGCTTTCATTTTCTATTTTATGTATTACTGTGTTGTTGAATTTTATGTTTTTGTATTGCTTTATAATCTGAAGAAACAGGGCTTTAAAGAGATTATTGTTATGTATCTCATTGCCCTTCAGCAACCTGGTACATCAATCATTTCTTCTTCTTTCCCTTAAACTATTCCTATACTGCCTGGCTTATAGAAACAAAAACAAATAAAACCCTCTCTCTACCACAGCTATTTAATTTCTCTCTCACCTTCTTATCACCACAAACCTTGAAAGGACAAATCCCATCCTGCCTCATATTTACTTCCTTGCACTCTGCTTCCTCCCCTCCCAGTCCACTGAGTCCTTTCTCTGCACTAAATGACTTCCTCACTGACACATACATCCAGTCGATTCTTTCCAGTCTCTTCTTAAACTTTGTGCATCTGTCATGAATTTTCTTTTTTTATGCTCCTTCCCTGTTTCCCAGGTTCCTATTTTTCTTACATCTCCTTAAATACTGTTGTTCTTCAAGCTTTTTTCATCAACTTTTTTTTGGTCTTTCATTACCCTTCTTATGAGAAATTCCATTTATGCCCACACTTTCTGTTACTTTGAGTTGATGATGACAAAATGTATACCTTCTCCTCAGTCCCCTTTTCTTCCCCCAAGTTAGACTCATATTTCAGGTTCATATGGTCCCTTAGTATCTGAATTCAACATCTCTAAGACTGGCTTCCTCATTCCAACACAATTTACTTCTTCCTACTGCAGTAACAGGAGAAAAAATAATGAGCAGCAAGACTTGTAGAATGGAGAAATAGACTGGAAAGTGGTTTGGAAGATAGAATTGGTAGAATTTAGTTATTCACAACAGGCGAGGGTGCCCAGAAAAGGAAGGAGTGTGTGATGACTTCTAGGTTTCTCAGTAGAGTGAACAGGCTTTCCTTGAGTTCATGAAATTTCTGTGGAAATTCCATGTGGAGATGCACATGGGCAGGCATATAGTTCTAGAAGTCAGGAAAACAGGTTACAGTGAAAATATAAACTTGGATTTCAATAGCATATGATGCCACATGGGTGGACAAAGTCCCATTCAGAGAGTAAAAATTTAAGAATTGGAGATTCAAGGAGGAATAATATTTCAGATCCTAGAGAGTGCACAATTTTCAGGGGAAAGTAGTCAAAGTAACACCTCAAAGATGTCAGCAAAGGAATAAACTAAGCCCTGGTCAGTTTGGCTCAGTGGTTAGAGCACCAGCCCACGGACTGAAGGGTCTCGGGTTCGATTCTGGTCAAGGGCACATACCTCGGTTGCAGGCTTGATCCCTGGCCCCAAAACACCTCTGTCCCCAATAGTCACCAATAACACCTCTATCCTTTGCAATCATCTTGCAAATGCTTTCCTTTGCATTTAAAAAATCAGCAAGGGCCCGGCCAGGCACGGCTCAGAGGTTGAGTGTCGACCTAGGATCCAGGCGATCATGGTTTGATTCCCGGTCAGGGCACATGCCCGGGCTGCACAGGCTAGGCAGCCGATCAATCTCTCTCTCTCCCCCTCCTTTCCCCTCTCTGAAATCAATAAAGATGTATTAAAAAAAAAAAATCTGCAAGGAACATTGTAACCCATGAATTACACAGAACAGGTGCTAAATGAATATTTGTTCAATTAAATTCCATCATAACACTTTAAACAGCATTTATAACTAATTGCGTTAACAGCTTTAGCTTTAAGTTGCATTCAGAAGTAATAATTTTAGGCCTACATACCTGAATCTGATAATGTGAGACGTGACAAATTCTTCCCTCAGTGAAGATTTATTAAATGCATTTTTCACCTGTTCCAAATATATTCAGATTATGTCAGCAAGAACAATTTTCTGCAAAATTCTGCAAGCTAATTTGCAGCTTAAAAATTTTTTTTTTAATTTTTTTTTTTGTTTAAAATACTACAGATGTCCTTTTTTCTCCCCAATGACCCATTCCTCCCCATCCCTTCCCCCTCCCCAGTCCCTCTCCCCACCATTGTCCATGTCCTTGGGTTGTGCATATATACATATAAATTCTTTGGTTAACACATTGACCAACATTTCACCATGTACTAAACTTGAGGACTCTTTTTTAGTATACTACTCAGTGATTTCCACTGAACTCTGCTTTGAGAATTATAGGAGCTGGGGAACCATAGTAGGAGGGCCTGGGGGGACATCTGCTGTGCTACACTCAGAAAGAGATAAAAGAGAATAAACAGACTATTTTTTTGCAAAGTAACAGTAAATGTTAACATCCTGAGATATAGACAAAAGTAGACAAGGGAAATGAATTAATTCTGCCAAGTAGTAGTTGGGTTATAGAAATTAGTGCATGCATGAGTGTCACATGGTTTCCAAACCTGGTGGAAAAGATATATATATATATATATACATACACTGCTTTAAAGAAGAGCTTATTCAGATATTCCCTGACTTGGTGTTTACAAATACAAATACAACCAAGATTTGACCCCCTCCTCAGCAAGGTGTCCAAATTCTCAGGCTTCTAGTCTACCAAGCAGTTTCCAGGCGGTTCACTACCATTCTGTTTTTAATCAGGGTGGTGGAACTGGGAGACAATTTGGAAATTATCTAGTCTTAAGTCCCTAATATTCACATAAAGAAATTTGACCAGAATGGTAAGTGCTGTGTGAAATAACACATCACTAGCTAGTACGTGGTAATGAAAATAGATTTTCCAAATCCTAGTGCAGGGTGCCTTCCATCACATCATTCCATGAATTACTTCACAAAATATCAGGAAAAGTCTAAATTATTCTCTAAATAATCTGACAATGAGAAGTCATCACCCAGGCCCTTGCTCTTTTGGCCAGTACTGTTTGTTTGTTTTTAAATATTTCATTTACCCCTCAGGATAATATTAATGCCTTAATGATAGAATGAGTATTCATGGATTTCCTATAGACTGATGTACCAAAAGCTGGTCCACAGTTAGATATTTTTAAATACAAAAATACTCTTCAAGTATGTGTCTGAATAGTTTTAATCTTGTGGTCTTTTGCTCAAAGTCTCCTCTTTAAGAAGTCTAGGATACATCAGCCCTCACATTCTCGGAATTTCTGGATTCTGCTGATTAAGAGTGTAGCCCAAGCTAAGGAAGGGTGAGTAGGAGAAACGTAAAGAAATGGCTAAGGTCACTTGGTTCAGCTCTTCACATCACGTCATACTCTCTGAAGTCATGTATTATTTTTGTTTTATATCTCTTAGGTAGGGGCCTCTTCTCATTTCGCAGAGTTAAACAAGATCAGCGGAATAGATGCTTTAGAAGTTAGGGTATTAAAAATTATAATAAAAAAGTAATGGCCCTAGAAATGGAGAAAAAAAAAATGCTTACCATTGATTCAATTCTCTGGCTCATTTCTGTGAAATTTTTAGAAGCCTCTCTTTGAAAGTCATCATAGAGTTTTTCACTTGTAAATGACAATGTACTGTAGTAATTGTAGGTCTTCCTTTGATCTACAAGGAAAGAGATAAAACCCATCATGCTTTGTATCAGATGTGTTTAAAGCATCATCATGTTCCCATTTGGTGGTTGCTGGGAAGGCTGAGACCAGAAAACTTGCCCCTACCCAGGTCATCATCCCCATCATCCTGCCCCGAGCTTCATGATCATCTCAGAGGAAAAGACAGCAACATTCCTCATGAGACTTGGAGTGGAAAAGCCATGAGAAGCGCTTGGTGTTGCTGCGGGCTGATTAGTCACGTGTTTCTCCATTCCTGAGTAAACCACAGGAGGCAGCAAGTCACGCCATCCGAGCAGACGCACAGGGATGGGTTCAGAAGCTTCCCAAGAGTAAATGTGTTTTGTTTTCCAAAAGTAGGTTCTTCCAATTCAGTAAACTACACATCATTTCTGGCCACAGGACTCTAGTGTAAGAATATTTATTATGACTAAAGAATAAGATGAAGGTAGGGCTTAAAATGCTAGCAGTTCAGAACACAGAAGTTTAGGAAACTAGAGCTGCCATATGACATAAGCTTCCAGAGACACTGTTTAGTTTCACCTGACTCCCTTGTCACTCATTTATTTTCTCCCAGGAGCCACGGGGATTGGCTTGCCTGCTTCCTTAGCCATTGTCTCCACTTTCTGCATCAAGTTTAAGCAGGCCATGTTTTCGGCCTGCTGAGGAATTAATGCAGCAAAGCTTTTCGTCTGCCCTCCTACACATGCAGAAGCACAGAGCCCTCAGAAGGTTCATTAAACAAACATTAATACTGACTACCTTTTCTGCGAGAGACTCTGTGCTGAGCACTAGGAATACAGTGGTGATCAAGGCTATTGTGTATGGTTATTACAGGAAAATAGAGCTTGCCTCACCCAATCTCAATCTCTCTCCTCTTCTCTGTTGCTTCTCATTTGTTCCCTTTTCACTTAAACTCCAAGGAAACGGAAAACAACTAACACTGGACACCGGTGTCCCAGACATACTCACATATCTCATTTAATTTATAATAACCCTCATGGGAAGGCAGTATTATCCACATTGATCAAAGGAATACAGCCTCATAAATGTAAATAAATTGCCTAACCCCAACATGACATAGCCAGAAAAAACAGAACTGGGCTTCAAGCCAAGGTCTAACTCCCAAAGCACAAATTTTCTTTACGTACTGCTTCCTGGGGGTGGTTAAAAAAAAACACAAACCCACTCATTGAAGCTATAAGAAAAATCTCTCTTTATATAAAAGTTATGCAAAAATAAAAATAAACCTACTGGTAAATTTCAAAAGAACATCCTGCTCATCCAAAGAGGGAAGCCACCAGTCAGACTCTGACAAGGTCTGAAGTGACACATAAAGGAGAGGGATGGCAGGCTGGAGACACTGAAAGGTCAGGGTCTACTGAGCATTAGCCACCTATGTGAGGCCTTGGGGAGGCTTTACTTTCCCCCCTCCTTTCTCACTCCCTTCCCTGAATGGCCAGTGTAGGCTGAAACGCAGGTCCCTGGCAATATATACAATTTTAAGTCAGGTTTTTAATTTATTTAAATATCGACCAATAGTTTACCTTAGCTCTAAAGTTGCATTTCCTCCACCAAGCACCAGGCTGCTGCTGCTGGCACCTAACCACATGCTGAAAAGTAAGGTTGTAAAGAGGAAGAGAACAGATTCCTATATCTTTAGACCTGTTTGGTGTGGGGGTTTTTTAATTATTAGATTGAATCATTTGAAATCGCAGTTCGTATAGGTCAAAAGCAGTCAAATATCAGCAATTTCATATACTTCAACCAAATGAACAGCTTATCTATAGTCAATATTTTACTTTGCTCAAATGGCTCAAACAGACCACTAAGTGTCAAAACATACTCCCAGCTGTCAAAACTATATGGCGTGTGTAGTTGTTGAAGAACATCATTGGGAACGTTAACAGAAAAGTAAGAAAAATAAGGATGAGCACAAGTTTTCTAACATGTTTGTGACTCTATAACCTGCAATGATGTTACTAATGATGGATTCACCTCCTGTCATTCAGATCTCAGAGGCAGCTTCAAAGGCCCCTGGACACAAACGGCACACGCAGTTCTAGGCCGCCCTGGGCTGTATGCCAAAACAATGTTTCTTCAAATCTGATCACTTCCATCTTGATCTGACTGTTTCTGTAATAGATTTGTTTGGTTTGGTTTGGTTATCTAGGCGTACCATCTCCTAAATGCGTGTGTGCTATGTCCACTCGCAGAGGGCAGGTCACAATTATGACGGCAGCGCACATCACGATTGTTTATCCAGGTGCGCTGTGTGGGTGGCAGAAACTGTGCTCTATATTAGTCAACTGAGCATCCAAACAGTAGGATCCAGGAGCAGGTTACTGGTAAAATCTTGCCAGGTTTGCATTGTATGCATGTGACTAAGATTTTAAGTCTTATAAACACTTGACTTGGGAAGAGGCAAAGGAGAAAAAATAAGAAATATTTTCTCTCACGCAGGTGTAGAGGCCCCTAGCATTACTAGGAACTCCTTATGAAGTAGGACAAGCCAAAGAATGCCCCTAGAAAATATCACTCGTTTATTACTCAGTATTTAATAGACATTAATTAAGTTTCTAATATGTGCCAGGATCCTCTTAAGTTCTGGAAAACAAAAGTGGATAAAACACAGTCCTAGGCATCCATGGAGAAGACTAATGACGATTACATCATGAGACCCAGTATATTCACAACAGGATTATCTAATTATAAAGTTATTTATTGTTTTTTAATTAAAAACATGCTCCATAAAATTATCAAAATGCAGATACTCCAAATTCGAAGACCTGTATGTGGGCAAATTCTACCCAAAAAAATCTTTACATTAAATATTTTTTCTTTAAACTGCTCAAAAATGATCCACCTTGCTTGGAAAATTAAGACTGGACTGTGTCTGCTAGCAGAAGATCACCAATTTAAAGATCACCATTTCTCCTTATAGGAAACTTCTGCAAACTCCCAATTAACCTAGAATCAAGTGATTAGCCTCTTTAGCTACAGAGTCTTGAACATCAAAGCATTATCTACTCAGTAAGGGAGTTAAACCAATAGGTCATTGCGAAGTCAACTAATTAAAACCTGAGGCCGAGTAGAAGGAAACTTCAGAAGGGTTGTCATACCCTCGAAGAACAGTTCCCAAGTACTCTGGGGACCTTTCTAATAACACAACAGTGTTCATGTTTCATCTAGCAGTGAGGTACCCAATTAACACGGAGTGAACCTCTTTACAATTAACCTTCTCAGCATATCCTATCCTTTTTAATCACTTGTAATATATCCCAAGATGAGATTTAAAAGAACAGAAATAGGCACTTATTCAGTAATATATCACTATCAGCATTTTTCCAACTTACCAGCACAGAATAGAGCCTACTTATCTCTATAATCCCTGATCATGTAATTAATTTATTGGGCTGTCAGGGTTTCAATGAGTTAGGATTATTTTAAATCAAGGTGTTTGCCCTATAACCTCAAACAACTCAAGACACTGGACTCTAGCTCTCCTATGGTCTTGCTCTAATTAAAACTTGATTATTACTTATTAATAAAAATGAAAACAAGCATGCTATTCCCAGCAGGAAGCATTGCTTCATCAAAGGTAGAAGAAAGGATCTCCTTGGCCTGTGAGGATTAAATGTGAAGCAAGGCAGGTAAAGAGTTCTTTGTAGCAGCTCTGCAAATGAATTGTAGTCATGGATGAATAAGCCCGAGGCTAACCCAAACAGGAATGCACAGGAGGAAATATTGGGTAAATCACATGATGCCAGGGCAGCCCATACTTACTGTATCTCACGTAATGAACAGTGAGTCCAATGCACACTGCCAGAACAATCAGGGATAAAAAGGTGATGAGACCAATAACCCATGGCTTCACACAAGCTCTCTTCGTGGCCCTCACCACAAAATGCCTGAGAAAGCAAGCAAATAGGTGAATTACATCACAGTGCACACTGTGCCCGCTCCTTAGGCAAAACAGATATTTCTGGGGAATTCAGGACACTCAGTTAGATGTTTTGTTTAGAATACACCCTGGCCCCAGGCTGCTGAAACCAGTTTGGCTCTGGCTGCCTGACTTTTGGCAAGTAAATTTGATTTCTCCGTGCCTCAGTTTTTCTTGTCCATAAAATGAAGATGATAATGATAGTACCTATCTCATAGGACTGTTGTAAGGGTTAAATTTATTACTGTGTATAAAATGCCTACAACAGTGCCTAGCGTGTAGAAAATGCTATGTGAATGTTAGCCATGATTTATGGAGCCGTCCATGTGCAAGATTCTGAGTTGGGCACTGTGGAAGCTAGAGAAATGTTTAAAGCCTGTTTCTACCACTCTAGAATCTTCAACAGCCTATGAAGTGTGCTACAGCTTGAACCATACCAGGTTCCAGATAGATTTTCTAATTCAACCTCTTTCTCTTTTTCTGATCTATTTCCAAACAAGCTTTGAGGATACACATAAGGGATAACCAGAGGTCTGTTCTAAAAAAGCTGAATGCTGGAGCTATATTTATCTCTAAACTTCAGTGATGCTGCAGGGAATCCCTTCTTCATGAGACTCCCTCAACCTCTCCCATTTGTTCTGAGGTCAAAAACATGTTGCTGAAAAATGTTTGTCAACCTGCTTTGTGTTTGATTAGTAAAGTTGCTGTTTCCTTGTGTTACAATATTTGCTAAGCAAACTGAAAAACTAGAGAAAATGAAATACTAAGTCAGTTGGCTAAAGAGTTTGAATATGGTGCTGTTTTAAATTTCTTGAGGTATTCATCATGCTGGTAGAAGCAATGGCGTGTATTCATGCCTGCAGAGAACTGTCTTGTACATGAGCGATCAGGGTAAGTGTAGTGTTATTTTGGAGGGGCGCCAGGGGTTGAATCAGAATAAAGAGAATTTCAAGTCCAGCTCTTTCCTTATCAGCTTGGTCTAATCATTCAGACTCTGAGCTTAGTTTCTCCATCTGTCAATAAGGGACAGAATACCCATTCTTTCTAAAGCATGTGGTTGACTCTGGGACCCAGAATGAAATCATGAATGTGAAAAGTTCTCACAAACTGCAGAGCATTTTGCAATAATTTTTTTTTTTTTGCTTGCAGAAATCAAGGAAACTCTGTTTCCTAGTGACATATGACCAACAAGTGATATTATCATTTTTATCCCTGCCACACCATCATCACATCCTGTCTCTGCCTCCACTTTTTGTCCTGTGTGAACACTGTTGCAAAAGTCAATAATGTTATCATTGCTACGTGACTCTGCCTCCGCTGAAGGCACTGGGATGTGGTGGGAGGCTGCCAGGCCTGTACTTGGTCTCTCCTACTGTTCCTGTGATTTCCCCATGAGGCTGTAGTCAAGGAAACTTCATCTTCCTCTCCCCAATCTCTCCCATCACTAGTTCTCCCTTGAGTGGGATCCCAAACACCTGTTCCCAGAATGGCAGTTACTGCAATATAAAAAGACTTCTCCACAGGAGGTTATTTTTTATGTGCCTAAGAAGACTACAAACTGACTCCTACTCCTTTATCTGTGAATGCTTGCTGTTCACCTGTTGCAGAAGAAGGGAGATGCATATAACAGACGTAAGCAAAACTTTGGGGGGGGGGGACATGGGGAGGGCAGGGCTTCTCAACTAATATCAAAACATGCCAGATAAAGTATATGAAGTTATAATAGTAGGGAACATGATATAATTATCAAAAGTATATGATCACTATGTAGAATTGTGAAATATGACAGAAGTTCTAGTCTACAATAACTTTTAATCAAGATAGAAAAGTAAAATAATGCAGCCATTAAATAGATGGGTGTAGAGCTACATGTATTAACATGCAAAAGGTCAATGATATATTTTATTGAAAGAATGTTGCAGGAGAATATGCATTCTGTGTCTAGTTTCTGTAAATAATGAAACTATATATGTGCATGCATAGCAAAATATATAGAAAAAGACACAAAATTATAAACAGTAAGAAGTGGAATATCAGAAATAAGAGAGAAATTTTAATTTTAATGTACTTTTTTGTGTTGTGGTGGATTTTTTTCTAACAAGAAGTATCATAGCTTTTGAATTAAACAAAAGAGAAAGAGGTTGAATTTCAAAAGACAAAAAGATAACAAGGACGATTATATGACTTTTCATTAAATTTCTGTCACTATTGTGCCCCAAAATTACCAGCGCGTTCTCTTTTCCTGACCCCCACCCTTTACAGCTATTTCAGTGATGGTCTTTGGTGGCTTTGAACGAGATAAGAGAGACAGCATGGGACAAAGAGAAAAGAGAAACCATCAAAAACACTTGAATAAACAATTAAGACAGTGTGTTGCTGAGTCCCACCACCAACTGATTTATTGCACATTCCTGTACCAGCAGATCCAATTCTCTTATTTTCTCCTTATGAAAGGCGGGGTTGATAATCCCAGACCCCTCCCACCCGGATGAGCTATTTGGAGATAAAAAATGATAAAATATTCTATTATTTGAGCTCCCAAGTAGAAATTATTGTACAAATAGCCAGGACCATTATTATCATCATTATTTTAATTATTAATAATAATGGTAATGACTGTATTGCTGAGATGTTTTCATTTGAAACATTACCCCTTCCCTTCCCAGTCTGCACGGCACTGCTTTTCAAACTGATTCACTCTGTTTCTTAATTACTTTCTTTGTTGCTCCCTCAGCAAGTGACTTAATACTGAATTGCACCATATTAGATGCGGTAGAAGTGTGCTCAAAAAAATCATTAAAATGGAGGAATAAAGCCATTTTATATATCAACAGAAACATGTAATTAACCCCCTTCTGCACATAAACCCTTGTCCAATCATTATTGCGGCCTGTGTAAGCTTATCTGAACCTCCTCCCATAAAATTATCTTCAGACAGACTGGTTGAATAGCTTCTAATAGCTTCAGTGGCATCAAATTTCTTTCTTTCTATTATTGTCTTTTCCATGTGGTGACAGTGAATAAAGCAGTTAAAATATAGGTACATTTTTATAAGTCCAAAATTGCCAGGAGACAAGTAATATGCTCAGAGTTGCGTTGTCATTGTCACTTTTTAATGTGTCGTTTTTAGATGAGTACTAAAAGAGAAAAGCAATACAACAGCAAAAAAGCAAGTAGGGGGGAGGTCCTAACACAAATCAACTTCATGGCAGGCACTGGGAAACGAGAGTCGAGACTCGCAGTGTGTCAAAGAAAAGTTCCCCAGAAAAGCCCCTGCCCACCACCATGGACTGACGGAGAGGGAGCCTTGAACTCTGCTCATTCCCTGTAATGGGAACCGGCCCTGAAGTTCTTAGTTCGCATGTTTCACCAGGTCAGCCCAGCTAGGCTGTTTTGGATGAACATGTGCACAGCGTCTATAAAGCTGTTGGTGCCAAAGCACTATCATCAACCGCTTAGCCCAGAAATCAGCAAGCTTTTCTGTGAAGGTCCGAATAGTAGCTAAGGCTTTCTGGGCCACACAGTCTCTGTTGCAGCTACTCAGCTCTGCCTTTGTAGCACAAAAGCAGCCACAGACAACACAGAAACAAATGAGCATGTCCGTTCCAATAAAACTTTAATTCTGTACACTGAAATTTGAATTTCATAAACTTTTTTGCTTGCCATGCAATATTTTTCTTCTTCTGGTTTGTTTTCAACCATTTAAAAGTATAAAAGTCATCCTTAGCTCAAGCACTGGACAAAAACAGGTGGTAAGCTGAATTTGGCCTAAGGGTCATAATTTGCTGGTGGCTGGTTTAGGCAAGAGCCGACAGGTCAATGCTAATTGTGCTGGGAAGCTGTAATGGTCTTTTCATTTTCTAGTCTCACTTTCGTAGCTAATCTAATGCAGTGTATGGCTAATCCCATTGTTACTGAACTTGTTTTAGCAATCCTCGCTAAAACGTGTCCTGTCGCTTGACAGCAGGTTTCTCTCCTGCCTACCCAGTCCCTGAGATTCTCCAGTATAGTAGGCTCTTTCTGGAAGTGGTATAGTCAGTGGCTGAGGCTGCTCGAAACCCAAGTCGGCCTCAGTTAGCCTGGCATCCCCTCTCTGTCCCATGAGCCTTCAAGCTCTTTGTCTTTGCTCCTATTGCCACCTATGTGGAGTAACTTAGAATCTTTTTTTTTAAATGCACATATGTATAACTTATGTAAAACAGGTTACCAAGGTGGCCCATTCACATCTGAGTCCCTCTCCTTAGCTCACTCTCCCCAAGGACGGCCCATCTTGATCAGTGCACCAGTGCTGGAAAGAGCTGTAGGCTTTTTGGGTGTGTGTGTGTGTGTGTGTGTGTGTGTTAGTTTAACCGAGTGAACTTTTTAAAAGTTACTTTTATCTTCATCAAAGTAATATATGCATATTGTCTAAAAAGTGAAATGCCACTACTTGCCACTTGTGTCTTTAGCAGTTGTTGTGCATTTACCTCTGAGTTTCTGAATAACGTTCTTAGGTAGAGTCTATTCTTTGCTTGCATCATAAAAGCCTGCGTGTATTTAAGAACAAGTTCAAAAAGTGCCCTTCACTTCAGTTAGGTCTGTTCATCCCCGAATATCATGGCGAAATATGCATTTTGAGCTCCTTGAGGATAGGGTCTGAGCCTTACTTATTTCTGTATTCTCTGAACACATGCTCAAGAAATGTCCCCAGAGGGAATGGAATTGAAGTCACCTAAACCAAATCGAACTGGCCATTTGTCAGTACTGCATTATGGGTTTTGATCTCTCTTAAAGCACTTCTGGTCTGCCATAGTCTTAGAAAAGAACTTGGAATATTACACACAAAGAAAGGCAGGTCAAGTGTTGTAAAGAATTATTACTATTTAAGAAAAGCCTGATTTCTGTAAGGCACTTTATATAATAATCAAGCTTTGGTTAATATTTCTATTTCACCTGTGTTTAAAATACATGATTTTCCAAATGTGGTTT